AAAGTAAGTGAAATTGTTCGTAACTTTAACCTTTATACAATGGATGATTAAAAATACAAGGTTTAGTTAATTAGCATATACATATACTAAACCAATTAGGAAAGCGATTCATTAAATTAAAGAAAAGATTGAGATTGGACTCTTCATATTATTCAATCGATACACAAAAAAAAAAATTTTTTTTTGATTTGTTTTTTTTTTTGTGTTTTGTGTATTATTAATGCAATGCAAAATATTAAAAACAATTAATTATTTCATATGAAATATGTGTGATGCAATATGGCGTTCCTTGTGACGTTAATATGCTTCTTTGCACTGTTCAATTTTATTAATTTCTAGAAAAGCTAAATATAAATTAATTACTTATTTTAGTAAATCTAAAAAAAAAAAGGTACTATTATTATTTTGTGTTTATTATGTTTTATTATGTTCATTGATGTTATTAATTAAAATAATTAATTTTGTGGAATTGTTTGAAGACGGGGTGAATGAGATGAAAAAAAAAAAAGATAGAATTCCTGGTATTTAATTATTTGTTTTGTTGATTTTTTTTTTTTTATGAAACAATAATTAATCTTCATGGAACAGTTTTCTCGAATGTTATGCAAACCTTCCATAGAAACGTAATACAGACGTGATCAGCATGAATTTGCATGATTGGAATATTCTATAAAAAATTACCCCCTTTAAGAGTACCCAATAAAAGTAGATCTTTATAAAAAAAGACGCGGGTCAAACAAATATAATTAATCAATCTTTTTTTTTTTAATTTGGTTGAAAATAATATAATTTTGCATATGAAACAAAATCTGTGCGTTCTAGCTATACATGACACCTGATTTCTATGATGATTTTTTGTTATTGTATGCAAAATCATAAATAAATAAAACTAGTTTTATATCGGGGAATTTTCATACGCCGATTATTTGTATGGAGAAGAAAATTTTGTACAATATTATACAATATTTTTACAATATTACAATTTCAAAAAAAAAAAGACCAAGTTTTGGGGTTATAAATTTGTAATATAAATAATATAAATCCAAATTAAGATGTAAAATCTTTGTTGACCTGTTTCTTAATAAAGGAGGATTGCATTCATCAAGAAATTTATGGTAATGGATAAATTTATAATTTATGTTTGATGTATTGTATCAAATCGTTATTTCGATTCCGATTTGCGTCCTAGTAAGGGTTTATTGTTTGAAGATATACATCATCAAAAAAAGCACTAAAGTGCATCATGCATATATAATTTATCTAATTTTGTTTTGATAAAGAATAGCTAATTATATAAAAAGTTCCGTCTTATTATTGTCCGTCTTGTATAAATTTATATTTTTGTTCAACGTTTCATGATTTAAATCATTCTATATTATTATTCTATCTAAACAATATTTCATCAATAATCATTATTTCAATGGAAATTTCTTCATATATGAATAGTATGAGTCATTTTAGCCAAAGGGGTTGATTAAAAAAAAATATTTGCTTTCCATTTTTAAAATAAAGTTTCGTAAATTCCATTGAACACAGCATTTTTTTTTTAATTAAATGTTGTACGATTAAAAATTAAAACAATAACGATCAAAAAATCAAACGATAATCATGCACATCAATTTTTTTTTTTAAAAAAAAAACGATTTTTTTTTTTTTGATTAAAAAATTCCCAGCCCAGATGATTACACAGAATTAGCGCAGCTCCTTAAACTAAAATAATTTTTTCAATGAAAACTTAAAAAGGAAATGATAACTGTGTTGTCACATATAAATGCTATAAATGCGCCACAAATACTATCCCATTATTTGAAACAATCCCCCTGAGGGTTGCCGAGTTATAACTGAGAACATCCATCAACTATCTTGTCCCGTAATTGAATATGAACAACCTGTTTAATTTGTGAGTACAGACAATACTATCAATAACATATTTCTCTTTAAGAAATTTTGAAAGAAAAAATATGCAATTGAATATTATTTATTAGTACCTAACCATTTGTGGCGGTTTAATGGGCTTAAAATGTATAAACAAAATAACAGTGGCTAAAAAATCATCGCAGTTTGTCTCCGGCTAAAACCTGTTTAAAACAAGACTGGAGACAAATGATTTCCAAAAAAAAGATATTTAACGCCACATCATGTGCGTCATTGTGGCAAATCAGATTGCTTACTATTATATTATTTTTTAATTTTTTTTTTTTTTTTTTTTTAATAAAAAAATTCAAACTTAAAATCTATCGGACCCCGTTTTCCGTGAAAAAACCTGTTATATTACAAATAAATAAATTATATTGCATCAATTTAATTGTGACGCCTTTTTTAATTAATTTAATTTATATCCGAATATTTAGTTATTTTCATTATTTTCACCGAGTCAAATAATTATTATACTAGATTAAACAAGATTTTTTTTTTCATTCATTTTATTTCGTATAACATTACAAAAGGGCAGATGACCAGATGACCTATACTGGGATATATTGAAATCAATTAGTTTTTTTATATTAACTTGGAAAATCGCGTTTAATGGTAATTAGTAACGCCCATTATATAATTTCACCTGATTTAATGACAATTTTCTAAATTTAGCTTAGAACATTATAACGGATGTTCTTAATTCCACAGTGCATGAAATCTAGAACATAGGTTCGATATGTCAATTATTTAAGCGGGCAAATTTCGGCATACTACAAGAGTATGTGATATTTATAAATTTATTTTATGAGAAAGTAAAATGTACTATTAAATTACACCGATCGATTAATAATAAATGATTGGTATATTTTGTCAAACAATGATAATAAATATTGTTTACTTCGCCGCATTTATGCATTAATAAAATGATTATATTTACGATAATGAACATCTGACATGCAGGTTATTTTAAATAGTTTTTTTATTCACGCGATTCAATGATAAAATACAGAAATATCAGAGTCAGTTCTGAGTCATGAAATAATTATAACTCATACTCACAATAAATTTCCTTACGCGATTGATTAATTTTTACTAAATTTGATATTCTAGAAGAAAAGAAGAAAATACGCGTCATATGTTTATTATAATAATAATAATAAAAGAACTTGTAAAAGTAAAATACAAATTTCTTTTTTTTTTAATATCGGATAAATCGGAATAAATCGGATAAAAGATTTGCCGATAACCCGGCAACTGCATTGCCCGGAACTAATCCTAATATAGCAATATAATAAAATTCATTTTTTTTAATCTTATCAGTCAGAAAGTTTTAGAACAATATTTATTTTATTACTTTGATTATGACTCGCATAATGTTTATTGCATAATTATTTTGTTATTTTTTGACCTCATGACCTGTTTTTGTTTTCTTTTTTAACAATGAATAATTTTTTTTTGATAAAAGATAAGATCTTTTTTGTCTTGAAGAAGGAGAGGTGAAAATATCAAATCATATGAAAGTATAATACATTTTCCTTCTTGTAAACCATTTAGAGTTCATGATTTCCGTAGAAAATAGATAGTAATGAAAGGATTAACATGTGCCATTGCTTTCTTATCCAAAATGATGAAAATACTCTGAGTCAACCATTACAATTCAGATTTGCCTTTTTAAAATAAACTTTAAAAAAAATTTAAAATGAGGAAACAAAAAGAAATATTAAAAGATTAAAAAGATTAGAAAATTCATTAATCACTCGATTTAATATTCGGCCACAGTTTATACAATATACTAAAGATTTTACAAATGATTTATTCGAATTACCGTAATTATAAAATTACTTTTTTTATATTTTATAAAGATTATTCGAATTACTGTAATTATAAAACTATTTTTTATTACTTTTTCATATTTTATATAAATTATAATAATATTTTTTTTATTACTTTTTTCATATTTTATAACAATATGAATCGGAACTATTCTTATAATAATTCCATTGCACCTCGGAGTGAATGATATTATCCTTAAATACCAATTATATGATTCGTTTTCCATTCTCTTCGACACTGAAACTGACAAATTCTTTCCCAAAATTATCATTAAGATTACTATGTATATAGAACAGTGTTATATTTGTACAACTGATAAAAAATAAAACGCAATTGCCTAATTAAAAAAACATACGGATAAAATTTATTCCGAAAAAAAAAAATTTTTATTTTTTTTTTAAGTTTTAAACAATAATTAAGTTCCGAACAAATATAAATGTAACCTTAAAAAAAATATGGCATTATATCTGTCTCTTATACACATCTAGATGTGTATAAGAGACAGGTGTTATATTTGTACAACTGATAAAAAATAAAACGCAATTGCCTAATTAAAAAAACATACGGATAAAATTTATTCCGAAAAAAAAAAATTTTTATTTTTTTTTTAAGTTTTAAACAATAATTAAGTTCCGAACAAATATAAATGTAACCTTAAAAAAAATATGGCATTATATAGTACCTGTCTCTTATACACATCTAGATGTGTATAAGAGACAGATAATTAACTGCGCATAACGTTATACACATTTATATTATATTTATGCGTTCCGGGCCGCAAAATATTTATCAGAATTTTTTTGGTGAGTTTGATTTGGAATGTTTTGAAAGAGAAAAAAAATGAAACATTAACACAAACAATAATTACCCTTCGGACTTCGGCCGAACTATAAATAAATATGCAACCAAGAACGTAATTATGATCTCATTTTAAAGCAATTTAGAAATAAAAGGTTTTCTCAAATTTGTTAAAAAATACAAAGCAAAAAGTTCAGTTGATAATCATGTCTAAATTTGTAATTTGTGTGATGATACAAACGTACAAAACTTAATTCTAGGAATTAATATTACACTGCATATACATTTTTTTAAAGGAGTTTTTTAAATTTTCTCTTTTTTTAAAAATTTTTATTTTTCTTTTATTAAAATATTAAAATTTAATAAAAACACACATTAAAATATATATCTAATATACATTTTTTTTTTTTTTTTTAAAGAAATAAGGAAAATTTTATATTTATTTATTTTATTTATTTATAAAATTTATTATTATTTTGTCCCGCACGGGGAAATTGTAGATCCTGATAACTTCCAAAAGGATGACGGACTGTGGTGAAATATGGTGTGAGTAGATCGACGTTGCCACTAAATGATGTTTGACCATCATTTGGATCTGGGCAATTTACGGAAATCGAAGAATAATGTTGATTATTATATTGTACATAGGGGAAATAACCATCAAAGAATGTGTGCTGATCTAATTCACTTGTATTTATTTCCATCTCCATTTCTTCTTGGTGTTGGTAAGTGTCATTTATCTCTGTTTGGAAAGAATGCCCTATGTGACCCATGGGAGCGGATATACTTGTTGAAATACCAAGAGACTGGTATGATTCTGCCGTTTTTATCTCCACGACGGAACCAACTTTTGTATTTCTGGGAGTTGGTTTGTAAACGTATTGAGGGTAGAGTTGGCGGTGTAATGTTTTAAATTCAGAGCATAATTGTTCAAATTTATTTTTTTCATTTTCACTCGCTCCGCCCCAAATAAACGATGCAAGCCTACTCTGTTCTGTTCCATCTCCAATTTTGGACTTAATATTTTTATCATTTGCCACTAATCCTAAGACGGCTCTTAATATCATGAAAGAATTTGGTTGTCTTTTTGGTTTTACTCTTTGAGATTCTTCAGGCCAAACTTTGTAGAACTGTTTAAATAGATCATTAACGTTATATTTGTGTCCAAAGATATCATCTCGTTGAAAATTTTCTTCAATTGTTTTTTGTTGTTTTAATGTTGGATAGTCTCCTTTACATGATTTAAGTTTGTTTTGCCAAGAATTAGAATTTACTAGAGAACTCATATTTTTAAAAGCAAAGATTTTATTTTTTTTAAAAAACAAGATTTATTTTTTTTTAAAAAAAAAAAAAATTTATTTTTTGAAATGTTTTTCGTTAATTTTGTTGCTCAAAGCCACACACATTATTGGGAATTCAAAAATTCTAAAATTCGAAAATTGGGTTCAAAAAAAAAACAAATCATGTTGTATTTTAAAACTCCCATATTTAGATATTTTAAAAAATTTTTTTTTTCTCTTTATAGAATAAAAAAATTCGTACTAATTTTATTTGGCATGCTAAACTTTAACACGTGCTCACGGCTGCAGTACAAATTTTCTGGTTATAGGCTTTTTTTAAAAAAACTTATCCATTTTCGAATTAGCGTGATCGGGCGATTTAACCAATCAAACCGATTTATTAATTACTGCTTTTTTATACTACGAAAAAAAACACCNAAAATTTTTTAATATATTAAGTAACGGTATAAAATAAATAAATAAATAAAAAGTACATAAATTTATATAATATATATATATATATGTATGTATGTATGTATATAATGTGTATATATTTTATATATTTTATTATATCACTTCCTGTATCCCTTGTATAAAAAGATTTGTGATATTTCATTTTAATTTTAATTAAATCGGTATTATATTAAAATTTTATTTTTATTTATTTAAAATATCCTTCATATCCTTCAATAGTAAAATAAATCATGAAAACATTTTACAAATAAAAAAAGAAATTTTTAAATTAATTATTATAATAATAATATTAATAAAAAAAAAAAAAAAAAATTTAGAATCGGGCTGTGCTAATTGTGTAATGTATTTTTTTAAAAAGTTTTCGTAACTCAATATATACACGTTATTTGACGTTGATTTTATTAAACAACACCAATAATTAATCTTTATCGAAACGGGAGTAACGTAACTCCCTCAATTGGTGATTTCTTGTATACGTTCTCTTAATTATATAAATGTTTTTTAATAAATAATAATTTCTTTTTTTTTTTCTTTTTGTAGGCTTATTATTTTCATTATTGTTGTGTTACGTCGATTTTCATCATTTTAATAAATATAATGAAAAATTGCAAAATTAATGTCGATCTCTCAAAAAAACTTCTTCCTCATAAAAGGAATGTTATTTTTAGGAGAAACTTACGCCATTCTAGTTTTTAATATATATATATATATATATATATATTTTTATAATGTTTCATATTTTTTAAACCAATAAATTGATTTTTTAATATTTCACGAGTATTCAAATAATAAATTTTCAATATCCTTCTAGTTAATATATATCTTGATTACTGTATTAAGAAATAAATTTCTTCTTGCTTATGATGTCATACAATAATGGGATTTGTTCGCTCTATAGAAATTCATTGGTCACATTGTAAAGGAAATAATAAATTATTATTTTTCAAACTGATTAAAAATTAATTTTCTTTTTACCATAAAAAGAATTATCACTAAGTATATCTAATAAATACCTTTCTAGATAGAAAAATGTAATAAGAGATAATCATTTATTCATAACTTCTTTTTTTCTTTAATGAAATTCTGCATAAAATTGCATTAATGTGACTGACTCTTTGAATTTATTTCTTTTAAAAATAAAAATAATTACAATAAATTTAATTGATGTATCTATGTTAAAGAAAAAAAAGAAAAAAAGAAAAAAAAAAATATCTGTAAAAAAATGATGTCGTTGGCGAATACTTTTAGTACTTTATTGGTTAATTGTTGCTGCGTCTCGCGTACCTCTTCTAGTCTATCATGTGATAATACATGTCATGTGACAAAATAATTTGAAAAAAACGTGACAAATATGACAAATATCTTAAAAAAATTTTCACGATAGAATTTATCGGGGGACGAATTTTATTTAAAAAGAAAGAAAAAAATATATATTTTTTACTGTACATATATACCATTTCCATTAAAAATGAATTTGTGATTTTTGAATTTGTAAATCAATAAAAACGCGAAGAAAAATTTCGTAGAAAAAAGAAGAAAAATTGTGATTTTGAAATAAAAAACGCGAATAAAATTTAAAATAAATTGAGATTTTTGAATTTGTCGATCTATAAAACGTGAGTATAAATAAAAACGTGAATAATATTTTCGTAGTACTACAATCATAAAAAAGGTGAATAACATTTCCGTTGTACTATAATTTAAATAAGTCAATTGTAAAAACGAATTATTCCGAATAGTAAAATTTCCATAAGAAATCGGGTGCAAATATACTCCTTAGGAAAATATCATAAAATTTTTTTTTGATGACATTTTTTAGATAAAAAAAGGAATTCTTATAAATTTAAAAAATATAAAGGTTGTTTCCGTCGGAATAACAAAGGATTTCATGCTGATATGGTGATGAATATGAAAAATCTTGCTGTGTTAATTGTGGTGAAATTTGTTGTTGTTGAGGTAAATAATTTTGAGGATTAGTTATATTGGGTTGAATCTGATGATCATTCATAATATGTATGTGATCATTAACGTGCTTAAATTGCTTAAATTTGAATTGTCGTATTGCCGATTTCTTTGAAGTTGGTTTGTAATTAGGAAATTTCGATTTATGGATTTGTCTAAGCTCCTGTGCGAGCTTGATAAAAAATAATTTGTTTGGACCGTGACAGTCCATGCGTTTCCATAGTATCCCCCCTAGCCTCCTGGTAATCTGCATAGTTCTTTTTGAAGTTCCTTCAACTTTTCGAACTTCATCCATCAATCCGCAAGTCTTGATAAGGTGATTGATGCATAACATACTGGAATTAGTGGGTTTCTTCAAATCTCCCTTGATTAATAATTCGTTAGCGGTTGGGGTTTGCCCATTTGAGATCGTGATCGTTAAAGTATCTTGAACTTCATCGAGGACCTTTCCATATTTCTTAATGAGGTCTTCGTTACTTTCGTTACTACAAGCTTTCTTTATAGCTCTGGTCATAATTAGAACGTGGGTGAGGGATTGTCATTACAAAAAATGCAAAGTATTTATTGGAAAATTTAAAGTACCAACATATTTAAAAAATTAACAATATATATTATATATATATGTATATTTATTTATTTATTTATTTATAAAATAAAATAACAACAATAATAAATATTATAACTAAAATAATATTATAATATTATATATGTTAAGTCAAAGTAAAAAACAACTAATTATGTTCTGAGGCTTTTTGGTGATAGATTTAAAAAAGAAATAATGCAAATGACTGATGTATTACAATTTCGTTACACGGCTTCAGGTTGAAAATTATTATTTACAAAAACTTTCTCTTCTTTTCTATTCTTACACTTTTTTTTTTTTCTTTCTTTCTCTTCTTTTTTATTTATTTCTTTTATTTCTTTTCTTTTCCTAAAAATTTAACCTAAAACAAAATAATTTAATTTGTTCAATACAAATTATAAATAGTAACTTTCTTGAATCTATCTCTTTCAAAACTTGTAGATCATTGCATATCAGATTTTTAATACATTCTTATTCATCACAAAGAACATTTAATCAGATACATTTTCGTACAAGAAGAAATAAACAATATTATCTTAAATGTGTAAATAATATTTCATAATGTTTCACAAAAATACTGATATTATTATTTGTTATTTTAGTATTACTATTTACTTTATAAGGAATTAAACAGACTCAATTATAAAATTTTCCGTCATCCGGTTATTTTGTTTGTATTTTTACCGTATTAATATTTGATTTTATGACGGAGGTTCATTCCTTCTTTCTTTCACTTACAACTTTTCTAATTATTCTATTGAGAAATGAGAAAGCGTTTCTTGGCATGTTTCGATTTTTTTTGTAAGTTATTTTCATTATTTATTACTTTAATTGGTACGATATTGTAGATATTTGTCGATTATTTACAATTAAAAAATTTTCTGATTATTTATAGTTTCATCTAAATATACTACAATAAAAATAGTCACGTAACCGATGGATTATTGTACAAACGTTTCGTTTCATTAATTTCATTAGTTTCATTATAGTTTTTCTAATTATTCCTAGCGAGTAGGCTCACAAAGTTTAGTTTCATTTTATTTTTTATATATTCGAATTTTCGTCTCACATTACAACTAATAACGAATAATTCGCAATTTTGAAACTAGTGCAGCTGATTTTGATAAACTAAGGCAAATAAAGATTTTAAATAACTTTAAAAAAAAACAAGATTCTATATTATGCAGAAAACAAACAATGAACTGAAGCAAGTAAGTAAAGATTTTAAATAACTTTTTTTAAAAAAAAAATAAGATTCTATATTTAATATGCAGAAAAACAAACAATTAACTGAAGCAAGTAAGTAAAGATTTTAAATAACTAATTTTAAGATTCTATATTATGCAACTCATTTTGATAAGAAAACAAACAATTGAAGCAAGTTAGTAAAGATTTAAAAAAATAAGATTCCATATTATGCAACCCATTTTGAATAAGAAAACAAACAACTGAAGCAAACAAGTAAGTAAAGACTTTAAATAACATTGAAAAAATAAGATATGATATCATATTTTACTTTTTTTTTTTTTTTTTTTTTTTTAAAAAAAA